ACTAGTCGTTTTTAAAATTCTCAAAAAATAAAAATCGATCCACCCTAATGCTTACTTCGCAGAATGCTTGACGCCTCGAATCTCCAATTAAATAACGGATCGTTTTATTCGGTTTTGTATTATTTATGCTGCGACTGAAATTCATTTCACAATAATGCAATGTCAATTTAGTACCTACACACAACAAGACAGTAAAATTCTCAAAGTTTGTGATTTATACCATTATTTTATATTTTTCCCAATTTGTAGCAAATGAATGTTTGTCATAGCCCAAATACTAATTCAATACCAAAACGAAAACGTCAGTGAGAATAAGAGTACAGTGAATTGCATGAATTTGATACACTTTTAATATTCTAAGAATTACAATATCGCCATATTTATTGATTTTTATTTGTATGCAGTGTTACAGTTGTTCGTTCAAATCGTTTCATTTCTGTTAAAATGCGGTATTTCATCATTTTTTTCTTCATTTCATTCCGATCTTCTCTCTTTATCTTCATTTGTAGTTCACGCAATGAATGTTCTACCCCAAGCCGTCTTTTTTCTAGCAAAGCAATTTCAATCTTTTTGTCGTTCATCATAATGTCGTTGGATAGATCTTCAATAATTTGATTGTCCTTTGAACGAATTGAATCTTGTTCCTCTTCGTTGAACGTATCGAATTCATTTACCGGAAAAAAGATGTGTGGTGGAGACAGGCTGAAGAGTTAAATAATATGGATATCACTTAGGATATTCAAATCAATTCGATATCAAAACAAAATACTCACTTTTGGCCAAAGAACATAGTGCGTATTTGAGATTGGGATATGCACACATTTTCGTCGGAAATAATTTGAATTTTGACACCTTTTTTCATTTTATTTTTCAGCAACTCATCTGAAAATCGACAGTTTCATTTTCATTTTAAATCTCTAGCTGCTGTCTCTTGATTGCTTTTTTATATAAATGGATGAACTGTTGATTTCTTACCATATATGGGTGAATTTGCTTTGCGAACTTCATCTTCAGGTGCATAAAGTGCTTTTAATGGGTCAAAAAACAAACTACGAATATCCAATTCGAAATCGATATTTTCTTTATTATCCATTTATAACTTTGCTATTTTTTTATATTGCTTTGAAGAGAGATAATTTTGAAAATAATTGCATAAAATGTACACAAGAAAGACAATCAATCGATGTAAATCAACATTTAAAAGTAAAATGTTTGAATTTGAAACATTTCATTCTCTGAAAATCGAAATTATCGTTTGGGTGACAAACAAAGACTGATTCGTGTGCGTTAGTGCTTAGTCTTTTATACTAAATTCGAAAATGACAAGCGTTCCTTACGGATACAAGGAAAGGTTTTGAAAATTGTAAATAAGACATACACGCATACAGCAAATACACGCATTTTATGTATTAAATTCATAAATGAGAAAAATACTCTTTTAATCCTTTCCGGGTTGAAAGTCTGATTGTTCAGTTTGCATCAAACATTCTCGAATCAATACCTAGTGTGTATGAAATCAGAAACTAAGCACTGAATATTGAAATAAAAACGGTGGAAAAATACGAATACGATCGGTTACCGTTGCCTAAATAATAAGTTGCTTTAGATGGTTAGCAGATTTCAGATTCATTGCATATGTTGGTCCAATTTCTCGACCCATTTCCTCAATCACAGCCAATAGCTGCGAATAGTAGATTTTAATACATCCATGGCGACGTTGTGGTGCTGGTGATGTTAATAAAACCACCAAAAGAATTTGTTTATTTGAATTAAAAGTAGACTTACAAAATTGGTTAAAATTGGCATTTTTCAAGAATTTATGTTCACGTTTACATTCTCTTCCAATTTTTGGTCGCTGTTGTGAAACGTTTGTTAACTTTTTGTATTCTTTATTTAGATGATCTCTGTCTGACTTTTTCAGCGAATGAATAAAATCATTTATGGATAATTCATCATTAGATTTCTTGAATATAGATGCAATCGTTGTTCCAATTTGTTCAGCTGCATCTTTGCTTCTTTTAACATTTTTTTGATACGATTCCATCCTTACACAATTACTTCTTATTTGTTGAACGCACAAGCACAGAATAATATCTAGTGTGTCTCTGAACGGAACTACAGACCATGCTACAGATTCCCATTTGTACAATACGTTAAGTGTGTATGTGTGTATTTCATCACTACCATCAACATGCATAAAAAATTGTTTTCAATTGTTGATTGAGGCAATTTTATTGGAAAATAAACAAACCGACTAAAAAATATTTTGATTTTGAATACATTTTAATTAAATTAGAAGTTTTTCATATTTATCATATGAAATGGGCACTTAAAAATTAAATTCGCTGTCTCTTGTTTTTTGGTGAGCCATCATTGCTCACGAATATTCCACAAATAAAATCATAGTTGGGTTTTTCGTTGTCTTTCATTTCTCGTGTGTACTTCAAAAATGTACGCAATTTTTCTGGCAATGTCATAGCCAAATCTTTGTAAGCTTCTCTTTTCATCATCAATAATTTTTCCAAATAACAATTTCTGTCCAAATTGCTGTATTTTACCTTTGTCCATGGCAATGATCCTTCTAACAAATAAATCAGCATATACGCCAATGATTCCATATCATTTTTAAAAGACATTTTTCTGGTATGCGCATCAATAGCCATAAAATGAGGACTGCCAACAATGTTACCACTCAGTGTGGAGCCGGATCCAAGGTATACAGATAGTCCATAGTCAATTAAATAAATGGTGTCATTTTTGGTCGATGTCATGACATTTGCAGGCTTAATATCATTGTGAACGTAGCCTTGATTGTGAAATACCTTTAGACGTTGTACAACTTGATGTCCGATTTTAAGAACATATGGCAAATCCAATTGTTTTTTGTTTTTTAATATGTTGGAAAATGACTCGCCTAAGAGCTCCATCAACATGTATTGGTAATTTTCGTTAAAGTCGTATCCAATCATTTTGGGAAAATGAGGATCGCCTGTGAGTTTTTCATAAATCTAGGTAGAAAGATCCATAACAAACGAATATTATAATCGAAAATGTGAAAATTCTCATTGATCAGAAAACGCGTTAATCGTAAATGCATTTGAATGAAAGCAATAGTAAATGAATGACATCAATTTACTACAAATACATTTTTTTAAGAAACAGAACATAAAAATGAATATACCAATATTTCTCGTTGTAATCCAAGCTGTGAAGTTGTTAAAATCTCTGCAAATTTCACGGCAAAATGTTCATTGCCTTTGGATGCTTTCCACACATCTCCGAAACCACCTTTACCAATTCGATCAGTAACAACATATTCTTCCCCATTGATATGTATTTTCTTTGGAATTTCAGTATTCATTTTCACGCACATGAAATGTTTGCAATATTTTGTTCCAGAAACTAAATTGTATTCTTTTATGACCTTTGTTTTACTTTCATCGAAGTGCAGCGAAATACAATTTTTAAAATTGTAAATAAATGACTGATTTTAGTTATGTACGTTAAGCGCTTCTGAGCTATATCATCTGATCTTTCATGAATCGCAAAAAGGAAGAGTGTCATTTCAGAAACAACAGTGTATATGTTTCACTGTGTGTCTTAATTATTGCGCATCACGATTATAACGAGGCTCATTTACAAAATAAAGACTCTTCGTCAGTCTAACGGATACACCAAAGTAGAACATATCTTTGTGAATTATTTATTCCGTATCGTTTTCAATCATGGAAAAATATTTTAGATGGGAGAGATTCGAGCACATACTGTTTAGGTAGTAGGGTTTCATTGACAGTTCTGCTGTCATTCTGTGGCACCTTGCTGCAAGGAGACGAATGTCGTTTCAAAAACTATATAAAGGAATAATCGCCATACATTTGACTCACTCTGTGCAAATCGTTTGACGAGTAAAGATCTATTTTGTTCTGATCGTTGATTTTATTTCGCACCGACATGGCTCCACGTAATGTTTTTTTTTCGTTTGCTTTTTTTTCTGTGCATAGTGATTAATCTTGCGTTGAATTTTATCTATAGAAACCCGTGGAATGACGAAAAGATTTGAGAGGGAGAAGCTGGAAATGCTGAAAATCTGCCCACAAATCGAAGAAAGATTGAAAATGAAAAAAACTCACAGTAATCATTTAATTGTTTATTGTTTCACATGTATTCGTGATTCACTTCAATAGTTTGAATATTTTTTGGACACGATTTAGATGCACGTGCCTTTGTCCGTGCCATTTCCTTGGCTGGATCCGATTTCTCGTTTTTATTTAAAAAACCGACCGAAAATGCTCCACGCAAACTTCCAAAACGTCGACAAACTGTGCACGAATGCATTCGACAACCGACAAATGAAGTACAGAATAATGTTCATCAGTGGTGTATCTGTCGCCGACAATCATTCGATGATATGGTGGCATGCGAAAATGCAAATTGCCCGGTGGAATGGTTTCATTTTGCTTGTGTTGGATTGATAACGTCAAATGTCCCAGACGTATGGTACTGCCCGGAATGTCGAAAATATTGATGCCTAATTACACCAACATTTTTCTTTATTTTTACATAAAACACAGTGTTTAACTGTCGAGTATAACAAAGTATCTCTCATTAAATTCGTTTTTTGGTAATTTTTGTTAGTCTTTTTTGTATTTTTTGTCGTCCTTTTCGAGATGTGATGCTACAGTGATGTTGTATATGTAAGTAAAATCTCTGTCTGAATTTCGGGATTTGGAGAAGATTCTTCCTTTAATATTTTGACCTGAACTGTCATTTTCCATTTAGAATTCAATCTTTCAATGATACATATCTACTACTACGAGGGTCACTATTTAAGTTTTTCAAAAACATATATAAGACAATGGGGTTTCATCGAAAATGGTT